GAAGAAGCTCTTTCTATATGGTATATTCAATGTTTTAAGATTTTCTATTTCAATTTTCGTGAAGCGAGAGTGAAAGTAGGAAGAGTATTTTTGTCATCACAATCATTATCTACTTCATATGAAAAAGTATCAATATCAAGATTTGAACCATGGTCTCTTCAAACAAAAACAATAATCACAACCAATTACACTAAACAAATTTATTTTATCTTCTTAAATTGTAAACATGCACTAAGCGAAGATTTGAAAAGCAGAGGACTTTTCATGGTTAGCTAGCCTATTAAATCTTCTTAAATGCAAAGTTTAATACGTGATTTATAATTTTTATAACCTGTAAAATGATGGGTAATCTTAAAATTGCAACACAAATTTCATTGCTTGAAATATTGCATATAGAGCTGCAGTATTGAATATGCAAAAGCAATGTGGAATTCTTTAAATCAATATAAATTTTCAGAACTAATACGAAACAATAATATTTTGTACAAACTATAGGTGATTGATTCTATAAAATTATAGCCTGGTTAACTGCTAAACGGTAAACTCTTGCTAATCGGGCATTAACGGACCCAACAGTAATGAGACGATATCGAGTTTAATGTGATGTTCATTTCATCAGTTTTGGATCGGATGTGTTGATCAATTCATAGGGCATTAACATATGAATGAGTTATAATTAACCTCATTATACAATTTTTACTCTATATAATAATTAATTTAATCTTAATATTTGTGATGTTTGAAATATTTTATGTATAATTTAGAGGTATACTTATTGTTTGTGACATTAGTGGTAGTTGGTTCAAATGTAGTATTTCAATAGGTAGTCAAAATCGAATACTAGGTGCATTCATGACTATTTTTTTTATCTTGGTGTTGTGAATAGGTAGAATTTTAATTATTAGAATGCATATAACAATACTTAAGCATATGATCGAGCGAGGCAGCGAGCACAACACAATTAGGCATACTATGAAGACAATGTATATGGATCGGCCATGTACAAGAATGATTGATTCATGGGTCGTACCAGACTTAAACTCCAAGGGCTCGTGCAGAAGTGCGAGCACCACATAGTCTATATTGGTGAACTCATATTTTATGGAGAAATGCGCCATTTAATAAACATAAAATAAAATATTCTAAAATAACATATAAAATTTGAATTAATGTGTAGTTTTCCACATCAATGTGTGACAACTTATATTCTAAAAGGCATATAAAATACATTCATTGTTTACTTTGAGACTCACACCTTTTTCAATGTATAGAACTCAACACTCATTTATAAAATCATTCTTGATTAACTTCATAGCTGCAAAGTCTTTTTTACAGCTTGCAGTAATAACTAATAACAAACAGTATCAACAATTACTTTAGAAGCAAGTAAAGTGAAGAAGAAATTGTGATTTATTATTTCTTTGCAAATGTGTGTGTGTGTTTGAGGGAGTGGGGAGATTTTTTTGTCTAAATTTTTTGAGGAAGAGTTGAAACTCATATCATTTTTGTGAATTTTGTATGTTGAATTGAAGTATTGAACATTTGAAAGCGATATATAATTTTTAAATTGGTATTAATTTTCAGCCTGGTTGACCAATAGCCTTAGACCCTTTGTTAATCTGACATGGATCCAATAATCACAAGATGAGATTTAGTTTGATATGCCGGTTCAAAATCATTTTTTATGTGTAATGAATTTATACGACAAATACATGTAAATAAGTGAAGATGAACCTGATTATGCATTTTGATTCTTCAGATAAATAAAATGGTTCAAACGATGAACTAACTATACACTCACTCAATTGGTTTAATGAGTTATGTTTTTAATCACTTTTATTAATCAGTTTATTCACAAGCTATCAAGCTACTTTGCTCCATCGATGAATAAGTGACCATCTGTTCGCCAGGTTTCAGGTGCTCTAATTCACACTATCGACTGTGATTGGAGAAGAAGCATTTATAGGTTTCCCTCGATTCCAGGCTGTGGGAAGAATGAGGAAGGAAAAATGAGGAGAGTGGTGAGATACAAATCTGACATGGATCCAATAATCACAAGATGAGATTTAGTTTGATATGCCGGTTCAAAATCATTTTTTATGTGTAATGAATTTGTACGACAAATACATGTAAATAAGTGAAGATGAACCTGATTATGCATTTTGATTCTTCATATAAATAAAATGGTTCAAACGATGAACTAACTATACACTCACTCAATTGGTTTAATGAGTTATGTTTTTAATCACTTTTATTAATCAGTTTATTCACAAGCTATCAAGCTACTTTGCTCCATCGATGAATAAGTGACCATCTGTTCGCCAGGTTTCAGGTGCTCTAATTCACACTATCGACTGTGAGTGGAGAAGAAGCATTTATAGGTTTCCCTCGATTCCAGGCTGTGGGAAGAATGAGGAAGGAAAAATGAGGAGAGTGGTGAGATACAAAACTGAGAGAGAGATGGAAAACCAAATGGAAAAACAAAGAGGAAGGCAAAGAGAGAGTGAGAGGACTAAGAAAAATTGAAAAATAGGCGCATTTCGCAAACCAATGAAAAAAATGACACAATTTGACCTCCAACCCGGTACCTTATAGCGGTCGGCCCGGCGGGTGTGTGCGTCCCGTTTTTCTCACCGGGTCAGGGTCAAAGTGGGTCGACCCGCGGGTCAACTCGCGGGTTGACAACCTTGGAGAGGACACATTTAAAAGAGGAGGAAAATGAGGAAGTGTAAAATAATTGCCCTTCTACTTTGATTAGTGGATATTTTTGGCCCTATTCTGGTGAGTTTTGATTTATTTTAGGATATGACATTATATTTGACATATTTTTTCGATTACAATTTAAAATGCTAAATCAATATTATCATTTGGAAGATTTTTTCCCTTAATACGATTATTGTAATTTCTGAGATTTAAGGGGTATTTGATAATGTCAATATTTTAGTGGTTTTTTATTTAAATTTTGTATTGAAAGATCGTACGTATCGGCGGCTAGACCATAAAACTTCACATCATAGGCTAAATCGATAGGTGATATATAGCAATATGAAACGGTTGAACCACAGTTAAATTATGACTTCGGTATAAAATACTCTACTACCAACTTTTTCGATATGATTTTACAATCCTTTGGTTCAAACAATTCTTTTACACTGGCGAAAACAAAAGTTTTAAGGCACATTTTAAACTATCTATTGCAAAAAAGCATAATACAGTTAGCGATAATGAGAATATGCGATCTCATACGGCCCAAAAGACGTACACTTTGCAATTTTTATCTTTTTAAAATAAATATATGCTACTCATACCCTCGCTCATTCATCAACTTAATGAGTAACATATATTTCATGTAATATTATTTTCATGTGTTTTTATTTATTGAATTATTTTATGAAAAAAATATTTGATGCGTGAAAATTACTACATTGTTGCTAGACATGTCTGCGATATGAGAATAATTTGGGAAGTCCGTACAACACATTGTCCAACTAGTTATTAGCGACAACTTCGCATCATGTCCTATATATTTCAAATGAAGCAACTTCAGATTCATTACCAACAGTGTGGTAAAAAAGAATGCTCTCTATTGAGAAAAACTTAAATGACATACTAAACTCTAAGACATTTTCTTTCATCCTAAAGGTTGATTATGTATGTATTATGAGAAGCAACTCTAATATTCAACTATATGGTTTAATTAAGTAATGAATGACAATTAGTTATATTTATATTTTTTATTCAATAATTATATGTAATGCTTATATTATATTTGTTTCCTCTTTTCATGAAGGTCTAAACACATTATGCATAGTTGGATCACTTTCAAAAATGTTATGTGCATAACTAAGGTAGAAAACAATCATTTCATGCATATCAAATCATCTATTATATATATTATTATATACCATATTGATCGACAAAATTCTTCCAGCCAATGGAGCTGGCCTGTGCTAGTTTGTCATAATATCAACATGAAAAATATATTCTTTAAAAAAACATGAAAATATATCTTATATAACCCAATCCCTAAGTTGTGTTAGGATATCTCCAATCAAATTGAAAGTAATTGGGAAACATCTATATTCATAAACCCATTTGTTTATAGCATATTCGTATAATTTTTATAAGTAATTTATTCAACATCATTTTTAAACCTTAGTGGACGCTTACCTCGTCCAATTCAAAAGCAATAGAAAGGATAACATTGTTTTGAGCTTGCAAATTCATAGGACGGTTGTTTTTTAGCATGCAAATCGATGGTTACTAGGACAAGCTCAAAACAAAAACAAATTGGAACATAAAATATACCCAATTGACAAAACAAATTGAACTACACGTAACTCCGACACTAACATTTGATGTTAAAACTCAAACTCAAAATCCTTTTAACATGAGATGGACGCATTCTTACAAGTACATAAATTCAAAATCTCAATTTAAGAATACCGATAAGAGTTATTAACATGTCGGAATGAACAGAACATTTTCTATTAATGGAATTATTGGCCATTAGAGATGCAATGCTAGGGTGCTTAAATCGTGATTAAATCACTCTGTTATGTTTATGTGGTGATTTCCAATTGGTAATTCGATGGGCTTGGGGAACGATGTACAACATGAATACATGATCGAGGCGTAATGATGATTGAGGATGCTGTGACTGAAGACCTCTTTTTCATTTTTCATTTTTTTATGCTCCTCGTAATACTAACAAGATTACCCATTGCGCGTGACAAAAACTACCCGTACATAAATAGCTCAAAATTTGATTGACTATGACATTTTACTTTTGAACAATTTGCAACATCTTACCTGTTACTGAATTTGGTTGCCCTTTCATAAATTATGAAAAAAGCCACCAGTAGTCAGCCATTGGCATTTGCCGTTCGTGGATTTTACCGCTGTCGCTGATACACTTCGCTTGCTGCTTGCCTGCACTTCTCCCCCGTCATTTTCCTTCTTATAAAATATATATATGAATCGATTTTAGGTTTTCTTTCCTCTCTCTCTCTCTCCCCTCTTTTCTTGTCTCTGTTCTTCATTCATTCCTCAGATTCTCTTCACTCCCAAGATTAACCACAAAACCATTTCCCCCCCTACAACCCTTTTTCCCAGATCCAACATTGTCCTGTTTACCTCTTCAATTTGGCAAGTTAGGGTTTTCTTTTCACTTTCAATCCCCATCGTTTCCCCTCCAGGTTTGGTCCACCTTCCATAAATTTCACTGCACACGAGCTCACTCTCCATTCCCGGTTCATTATTCCTATCTGGGTCGGCTTTCCCCCGTCCCGATTCAGCCCGCGAACTTCCTTTTCTTAGTCCCAGATCAGAGCTTCAGTTTGGCGGGTTTTTCTACAGAATTCGGGCTTTTTGGGTTGTTCAAGTTATTTTCTTGGTGGGTGTAAGAATTGCCCGACTCTCTCGTTCGGGATTGTTGATCGAGGGGAACTCAGACTGTTGGGATTTGGATTTTGGTTGGCGATGCATGTGACGAATTGCTGGAATTTTGGGGGTTAAAGTTCGGAGCTTTTTGTCTCCCTCCTTTGGCTGCTGAAGGTTAATTATGAGCTTTGGGCTTTGAAACCGCTCGAAAGAAGGGTTTGGAGCGGTTTGATTTCTGTTTGGTGACTCTGCATGTACAGGCCATAAAGAGGGGTCCTCTGCTCAACTGTAGAGGATCCCTGCTGTCTCCTCCTTTCTTCCCAATCATTGTCGTTGGGGAGATCGTTGAATTGGAAGAACTGTAGAGCCTCTTGGTTCTTTGAGGATTCCTAGAATTGGTTCTACTTGGCCTGCATTGGATACTGGAGATGTTTGCTTCCGGTTCAGATACCGGCCATGAGAGTCTGGGAGTAGTGCCTATGCGGTTTGTTTGGCCTTATGGAGGGAGGAGTGTGTTTCTCTGTGGCTCTTTCACTAGGTTGGTTTGCTACTACATATATCAAAGCTGCTACGGTTCTTGTAATGACTGATAACTGGTTCTATGACGATGAATAATCATTTCGGTTCTGAATGCATTTCTTATCTCCGCAGGTGGATTGACCACATTCCCATGTCCCCGATGGAGGGTTGTCCTACTGTATTTCAAGTTATTTGTAGTTTGACGCCTGGATATCACCAGGTTAACTGTTTTTTCTCCAATGGTTTTTCATTTCTATCGTCCTGAACCTGTATTGGACTCTGGCTTCCTGCAATCAATTTGTTGATTCCACATTTTACTCTCGTTTATCATAAGAAATGGAAAAAGGAGCATCGTTTAACTATAAACAATTATTACTACCCCATCCGCTCGCTAGTTTATTTTTTGTAAGCAAGTCTTGATTTGTAGTCAATGTTCACCGTTTGTGTTTTGTACTTCGTAGTAATTATCAGTTGCTTTATACCAAAGTGGCAGTCAAACATTTCCCATTAGCCACGTGAAAAAGAAAAGTAGGACTTGTTTGTGATGACAGTCTTGGTTTATTGTGATGACAGTCTTGGTTTATTGTACAGAAACCAATACATTAGAACTATGGCGCGAGCTTAATGCTTGCTAAGCGGGGTCTTGAAGCTCTACCAAAGCACTATAACCTTGTGAACACTTTTTTTTAGTTTGTAGATTATGTCATCTTTAAAAGGATTCATAATCCACTGTTCTTACTTACCTTCTCTCTTTTTGACATTTATATGCAGTATAAATTTATTGTCGATGGAGAGTGGCGGTATGATGAGCACCAGCCGTTTGTAAGCGGTAATTACGGAGTGTCAAATACAGTTTTTTTACCTAGGGAGCCAGATGTAATCCCTGCAACTTTTAGTCCTACTGGGCCCGGGAGATCTAGCATGGACCTGGATGATGTCTTTGTTCATTCGGTAAGGGAGTTTGTTGACTCTGACATGCTCTCATGTTTGTGGTGCTCTTTGTAAAGTCTTTTTAGTTTCCAACTTCCCTGATATGACTGTAAGTAGCTATTCTATAAGATAGTTTCTTTCCCTGGTTTGAGTCATTTTATGGCAAGTTAGGTTTATTAGGTGGAAACCAATAGGTCAGACACTTAACTTGATTGATATTGTTGGTGATCCTTCTCAGGATGTGGTCCGTGGCATATCAGATGCTGATTTGGAAGTCTCTCGTCACAAGATTTCTGCATTCTTGTCGACACATACTGCATATGAGTTGCTCCCTGAGTCAGGCAAGGTTTGGATGCTATACCGTCTTCTGGAGCCCTTTCTTTGTGTTTGATCACAATATTTCTATTCCTCTGCTTTAGTTTTGAGATTATCCTTATGCTTATAAATTTGTCAACTAGGTTATTGCATTGGATGTTAAACTACCAGTAAAGCAAGCATTCCATATTCTCCACGAACAGGTGAGCAAGTGTCTATTTAGATAGACTAGCCTACATGCAATAGTCAACATCTAGCAAAAGGATGAATTCATATTTGACTTCTAATATCTAGTTACTTTACGTCTTTTCAGTCATTTTGCAGTTTTATGCCTTGGCTAAAATCTTTTTCCAATTGGATTAATTCTAGGGTGTTCCTGTGGCTCCTCTTTGGGATTTCTCGAAGGGTCAGTTTGTTGGGGTTCTCAGTGCAATGGACTTTATCCTGATTCTCAGAGAGGTGAGTTGTCAACTCCAAGTTAGTAATTTTATCTCACATAGCCTTTTGGGAACCAGCATACTTTCTCATGCTGGAACCATTTATTATGCTAGTTTCCTAGTTCTATCTATATAGTTGGTGAATAAGGGAAGTTAGCAAAGTATCCTAAAACCAGTAAAAAGCTAACAAATTCGGCAATACTGAAACTTGTCATCTTGCTATAATATTTCTCTAATCTGAAATCAGACTATAAATTGTGAAGGTGTGTTTTGAAACTAGAGGCTGACTTGTCAGTCAATTTTATGGTGAATTCCAGCTTGGAAATCATGGATCAAATTTGACAGAGGAGGAGTTGGAAACTCATACGATTTCAGCTTGGAAAGAAGGCAAGTTGCACCTCAGCAGACAAATCGACCACAATGGAAGATCAGATCCTAAGTATCTGATCCATGTAAGTGTTTGGCTACGAGGTTTTATTAGATCCTCTATCACCCAGTTGAAGATTCTACTTGTACTGATACATGCAGACTGTTTTGTAGGCTGGGCCTTATGATTCGTTGAAAGATGTTTCTCAGAAAATCTTGCGGGGTAATGTATCAACAGTTCCCATCATCCATTCTTCATCTCAAGATGGTTCATTTCCACAGCTATTACATCTAGCTTCACTTTCTGGAATACTAAAATGTATGTTTCTTCTTCTCCATCTTGTGTAATTCATATTTTCATTAAAAAGCATGTCTCTTTGTGATTACTGATTCTAGATGTTTGGTTGCAGGTATATGCAGGCAGTTTAGGCATTCTGCTAGTACTTTGCCCATTTTGCAACAGCCAATTTGTTCGATTCCTTTAGGTACATGGGTTCCTAAAATTGGGGAATCAAATCCGAGGCCTGTTGCAGTCTTGAGACCCAATACTTCTCTCGGTGCTGCCCTGTCATTGTTAGTTCAAGGTAAATTGAAAGTTGCATGTTGTTTGTCAAAATTGTAAGAGTAAATGAGCCACCAATTTTCTGCTGTGATATGGCAAGTTTTTCCCCTCTAGAATTGTACTATCAGGACTTGGGCGCTGAAAATAGTAAGATTATATGGACTACCGAGTTTGTAGTAAGATCTGAGCTGGTTTACCCACTAAGAATGGTTAAATCTTGAGATCCAGAATTGGGATTTTAACACAACTGTTTGAGACAAGTTCATTGATTTCTTTTCTATGCCCGTGTCCATACACCATTTGCTCTTCACCATTTGAATTTGTTATAACTAACTCGTCTGGATCTTGGCTGATGCTTTCGGTTCTTTGCAGCTGATGTCAGTTCAATTCCGATTGTAGATGACAACGATTCACTTCTGGACATTTATTCTCGGAGGTTTGTATTTAATTCTCGTCTGTCTGCTGTGGTATTGAACCTTTGTAGTTTGTATATAGCAATCTGTGACATCTGTTTTCTTACTTGACAGTAGGGATGGCAATTTCGACCTGACCCGTTTTACCCGACCTGTTTGACCTGTTTTGGGGCGGGTCCGACCCGCCCCGTAGGCGGGGCGGGGCGGGCATGGGTAGTCTCATCGACCCGACCTGCCCTGACCCGCCCCATTCTCGACCCGTTCTTGTCTAAATTACATGTAATCTTAGTCAAATTACTTAGAATTTTTCTTTTATTGCATCATATTTTAGCTATAATAAAGTTGTAAATTAGTAAAAACTTCAATTTCTCCAATAATTTAACTACAATTGTCATAATATTATTTATTTTCTTAGTCTTATAATAAAAATAACGAATATTTCTAATGTTTTTCATATAAATTGCTTACCCATTGGGTCGACCTGCCCCGACCCGCGACCCGTGATCAATTACCCGACCTGGACCCGACCTGCCACGGGGCGGGTCTGGGTACCAAGAAACCCGCCCCGGACCTGCCCCATTGCCATTCCTACTTGACAGCGATATCACTGCTCTGGCAAAAGATAAAGCCTATGCACAGATTCATCTAGACGAAATAAGCATCCATCAGGTACACCTGCTCAATCTCGAACTTGTTTGGTGACTCCATTATCATCACTTTGAATATAACATTTCGTCACACCTGAAACCAGCCAAACAATTGGAACTTCATGGATGGATGAGGGTGGTGATAAACCCGAACAAAACCCAAGAATGCAATAGCTCATTGTTTAGCATCCGCCAAACATAGGAATCGATCTCCTCTCCAAGATAAAGATGATCTATAATTGTTTGGTGTTGTGTTTCTTCTCATTGTTCTACCTTCTTCAACGGTGCTTCTTTTATCATCTTAGATTTCATGTAACCCGCAATAGAACCTGAACAAAATATCAAAAAGACGGATAGGAGTTTATTTTTCTTTTATGGGTCAGCTGGGATTGCTTGTAACATAAACCGAGTTCATGAGTAGGTTGATTGGGTCAAATCTGAATAATTAATCCCAAGCCACCATGCTACTTTGCATGATATAGGACTAACATGCAGTGCACGCTTTCTTCTCTTGTGTCAGGCATTGCAGTTGGGGCAAGACGTAAGTTCCCCTTACAACGGACAGCGATGTCACATGTGTTTGAGATCTGATCCGCTTCACAAAGTGATGGAGCGATTAGCAAGCCCTGGTAATCCAAATCTGTACTCGACTGTTGCCTCAACTAAGAAGTTTTGGAGATAAGGGTTTTGATTGATTGCTTGTTCTCTCATCCAGGGATTCGGAGGCTATTGATAGTCGAGGCTGGAAGCAAGCGAGTTGAAGGGATCATCTCGTTAAGTGACGTGTTCAGGTTCTTGCTCGGCTAAAAGTTTTGGTTGGTATGATCAAGGAGAAGAAGAAGAGCCAGAACGTGTGGATTTTCAGTCTTTTTAAGTTGGAGGAGGGGCCTAAGATCTCCCAATGGTCATTCTTTCCACTTAATTTTTAGAATAGAGAAATTCCAAAGAGCCAGAAAAGAATATGCAAATTGTGAGTATTCATTTTTACCCTCCCCTTCCTTTTTCCTCCAAGCCTTTACCGTCCATGATGATATTTACTGGCTTCTTTTTGCCTCAAAAGTAAAAAGAACAAATCTTTACAGCTTTGATAGAAGTAAAGTAAAGTTTATGAGGCTGAAATTTGCAGTTTTGAGTGCATAGGGGAACTTGGTGGTGGGCTGTAATAAGAGATGTATGTGGGCATTGGGCAACTAGTGAATCATACTAATATTTTTGTTAATAGATCATCGTTCCCAAAAGAGTATTTCTATCTCATTTTGCCTTCAGTTGGGTTTTCATCAAATGCATTGTAATTTTTAACCACCTTGACTCTTGAATTTGAGTGAAGGGCAAGAAAATATTGGTCAAGGGTTTAATATTCAATAACACAAGAACATCACCAAGGCTGTGACTAAATGAATATTAGATTAACAATTGTTGTAGGAAGAATCTGGGATGCTTGACCACTAATGAAGTAACTTGGTTGAATGTTGTGTTCAAAATAAAATAAAAATTAAAAAATATGAGAAAATTGAACACAATTTATTCGACCAAAGAGCCAGATCCGTGATTTCTTACCTGACTTGTGGCTTTGAATTAATGATTGTAAAATCGTATAAGAGGTTGTACCACAAAAATTAAAATTAGCGGTAAGATTTTATTTTTAAATCATGATTTAATAATTTCACATTACTAAATACCGCTTGCCAATTTATCCTATAATTGAAGATTTTTCTAATCAAATCACCAATACAATAAGATTTTTCAATCCTAGCTTTCAACCACATTATGGGCTTTTCATGATAGTGTATTTTTAACCCGACCTTTGGCATTCAGATTGATTAATGAACTTGAAAATGGGCTAATTGCAAGTTTGGTCACTGAATTTACTAAAAACGTTCATGTTTAGTCACTTGAAATATTTAAATCCATTAGTGGTCACTCGAATTAGTAAAACGGTCCAAGTTTAGTCACTCTCCGTTAGTCTCCGTCAGTCTCTGTTAACACCGTTAATCAATTGCTGATATGGCTATCAGAACTGCTGACTCACCCAATTTTAATCCGCCACATCACGAAATCCGACCTGCCACATCACTCAACTCACCACCTCAGTTTCTCCAACCCAACCCATAAACCAGCTGTTGACAATCGTGAACCATCCTCCCTCATCCATCGCCATTCTTAGCTCCTTGCCGAAGTGAATCCCCTCCCAGCCATTAATTCGAATCCCTTCCCAGCCAAAATCGAACTCTAAAAGCCCCCACCCCTTATGAAATCCAAGAAAACGAACCCCAAATTGAAAATTGCAGTTGTCTGGTTTGTGAAGATATGGGGTGAATTAGCTTTCTTGTTCCCAAATTGAAAACGAAACCCCCACCGGCGACTGATGAAAAATCTGGTGCAAAAATTCCTTGAAAGTCGGAGAGGGATTTGGATTGTGGCGGTGACAAACGGTCCTCAACCCGCTCTACTGCAGCATGTGCGAGATCCCCCGGCATTTCCCAGAAAGGATTCACCCGCCGCCGCGGTGTGAAAATTTTTCCGGCGCCACCTACTGCAGAATGTTCTTGTCAGAAGATGCCCTTCCCACCGCCAGACACATCCATGTCGTGCTCCGACGGCGGAAGGAGAAGAAGAAGGTGAAGGCGGACAACGGCAGAGGGGAAGATAACGAGAGCAAGGAGGTGGAGCTGTACAAGCGATTTGGGCTCTCGAAAGAGCTCTCGAGCAGGTTTGAGATTGGGGAAGAAGTGGGGAGGGGGGAATTTGGGTATGCTTGTTTCGATCAGAGAGGGTTGTGATAGTTTAGGATTTTACAGTTTGAGATTGAGGAAAAAGTGGGGAGGGGGCGATTTTGGTATGCTTGTTCCGATCAGGAAGCTAGTGTGGTAGTTTAGGGTTTTGATTTGAGGGGTCGGTTCACGGGTAGTTAATGGGTTGGGTTGGGTTGGCAAGATGATGTGGCGGGTGGTGGGTCGGGTTTGACCATTTTCAGGTTAAATAGAGCTTACTAATACTAGATGATTTTGTCCGCCACATCAGCACTTAACGACCTTTGTTTATGGAGATGGACGGCTATTAACCAAGAGTGACCAAACATGAACGTTTTTAATAAAACTAGTGACCATTAATGAATTTAAATATTTCGAGTGATTAAACATGAACGTTTTTAGTGAACAAACTTTCAATTAACCCACTTGAAAATTCATGAATTTGGATCTAAGCTACACCAAATCCAACCAAAATTTATTCAACTTTCACAAGTGGATAAAATGGAGCACGGTCATTAAATAGTTAGATTAAATGACGAAATTCCCCCCTCATAATAGAATAGACAGCTAAAACATAATCACGTTGTTATGTAAGAAAACCAAGAGATCGCTCCATTTCACAAGAGCTTTTAATTTGCTCTTTTGAGCCCGATAGAGCAAATTCCAGCTTCTAAAACTAGCCGCAGATAAGGGAAGATCCAAAAGCTTGACTACTATGACTATCTAGTTATATGAGATTTCCTACCTAAACTGAAGAAACTCCGCCCCATCGTATATCTACAATGGCAGAGCAGCACATCGAAGCAGATACAGCAATAGACATGTATAGTGAGCATGATGACCGTCTTGCGTTCATGTTGGTACCAGAGCTAATATTTGCGTCTTGATTCTTCCCATGCACGTCTGTATCTCTCGGTATATCGGTAGGTTCTGCGAACAACAGGGCTGCAAGTTGGTGACTGCGGAATCTATTATCTGAGCCACATCTGCAGGAGGGTACTGTCGTTCGGTACACATCTTCGAACAAGATACACCAAATGTAAGGATCGATGATCGAAGAGGGATACCGGATGGAGTTTGGTCTAGACAAAGAGAGTGAAGATTTGTACCTTGATCATGAGCAAAGTGGCGACACATGAAGTCATGAGCTCCGATGGGGATGAGACTAGGGAGGAGGAGAGGTTCACTATGGACTCTGAAGATGTCTGAATCGACAATGTACCTCCTCGCCTGCTGATGTCCATTTTATTTAAAGCCTCCCTGATCGTAGCAAAAACATCCTCCCCTTCTCTCTTCGAGGAGAAGGCCTAGAATGAATGGGTAGTTAAGATTCATCACTTTGGTTTTGTGGAACACACCGAAAGCCAAAAGAGGGGTGGAGTAGAGATAAACCTGAAGAGCAGCATCGAGCATCTTGTGAGCTCTTTGTCTTGAGCTGTTGATGATTTCAGCTGCTGCAGCAGATCCCGTATCTTGGGAAGCAAACGAATTGTGATAAGAATTGGAATTGGCCGAGGAAGTCAGCCAAGGGAGGTGCATCTGGTTTCCTTGCTGGGTATTTATTGTATGAAGGAGCAAACGGATTTAGCGGTTGAAGTTAGAAGCAAAATCCTGATTGCCGCACATTACCAGTATGAAGTAATAATAATTCAGAACATAAAGTACCTTTCTATTGAGTGAATGAGTCGGATCAAGAGCTGAAGTCGCCGAAAATTGACCAAGAGGAACATTTTGGGCATCGGAAGCTTGAATACCTAAGGCCTTCAGTTGTGAAGTAGTATTTTCTGTAGCCTTTTGGAGAAAGCAGAAGCAAAATATCAGGCATTAATACTTTCATTCTCGAAATTCATAAAGAGCACTAAAACTCTAAAATTATGAACCCCAGTTCCCAATTAAAATAAGGTGTATGGTTCGGTCCAGTCGAGAATAGGCCTGAATCGGCATCAGACTGGATTGAACATAAGAAGAAAAACAGAGAACTATAATCGGACAAAAAATGCCATCAATCAGAACGGTCTTCTCGATTTAGTTTTAAAGATGAACCGTGGAACTAAAACGAAAGAAGTCTCGAATTTCAGAACCTAAACCGAATCGATTTATATTTGGTATGGTCTAATTCCATTAAAAAATAGATTGGTTAGGTGTGAACCAAGTTGTTGCACTGGCTGTGCAGTTCAGAACTCAGTTTCAGTGTTTTGAGTAAATATTAAACTCAGTTTTGAATTACATAAACAAAAAAGGTTTTGAGCTTCCAAACAGAAATAATGCTCACCTGAGCTTGCTTTATTCTGGTATTCATTGGAGTCGGCACACTCTCCACTGGCCCAACTGAGTTAAGCTTCCTATTATCCGAATATCCATTTATCTCAACCTCCTTCATAGCATCGAAGTACTTCTGCCTCTTGAGAGCCTCTGGCATGTTGTCCATTGAGTGGAATGGCATGCAGTCCACATCCTGGAAAATGAGTACTTCAAATCATTATACGACACAAAAGTATGCTTGAGGACATCTAGTTAGTTAACTACCAAAACAATATGGAAGAAATATGTTCACAAACTATTAATGAGTGATAGAATGATCATTTGATTACCAGCAAGAAATCAACTACAAATATTTCATGAAAAGCAAAATGATTCTATATTCATCTGACAGAAACTACCTGGATAACTTCAACTCCAATCTTAGAATTGTAAAACTGAACCCTGCATTCTTCATGATCAACTGTTAGCACTCTTCCATTGTGGACTTCCCTTGTTCGTGGATGGACAGCGATTACATCTTGTCCAACCCACAAGGGTTTTGCTAGATCTGTTGGAAGTCCATTCCTGACACCGGCACGGAGCTCACTATAATGTTTCCTCACAGACTCGCGGTATTGTTGAAGTTTGCTCCTTTCTTCACGGAGAAAGTGCTCAGAAAACCTCCGAGGTTTTCCAAGGGAACTGTAATGAACCATACAGCTTAAGAAATTTATCTCGTAGATGTAGCAGAAGATGTATTCTTATGAGAAGTGGAAGTACCTTCTTATGACACCCCATTCGACACGTGTTAGAGTAGGAATGTGGCAAAGCCCAACATGATTCAAGTATTCGACAAACTCTCGTTTGGTGAACCAAGGGTAGTCGATGGCACTGTAGAACCATTCGAATGTACACCATCTACGAATAAGGGGAGAAGAAAGACAAGAAGAAATGTCTTCCTGCATAAAAGAGAAGAAGGAAAGGCAAGAAGCCAAGAACATAAGTAATGTGCTAGGGGTGGGATTGGTTTCGGTTTCAGTTAACAAAACCAAGCAACAAGTATTTATGAAACCCACACCAAACTGAACTTTGCTCGAACCGAACTTTAACTGCAGCACCGCGATAGTACATAAGGAACCGAAATTATCACACAATTCACCAAAAATAGAAGAGACTGCGTGAGTTCCAAACCCCAATTAAACAGATCCAACAAAAAATCGCAGAAGTTTAATAATGAAACTCAAAATCCTCAAATTAATAAATTCCAACAAAAAATCAAGTAAATTAGACTAAATTTCAAGTAAGATGCTAATTCCAGTAAATTCCATAATAGGTGAGGGCCAGGCTTTCAAAAGATTTTGGCGATATGGGTCTGTTTTTTGTAAACCGAAACCAAAACTAAGAAGTTCTAAAATCAACAACCAAATAACTCAGTTTCAGTAGCAAAAACTGTGGAATTTGGTTTCGGTTAAACCAAAAACCAAAGCCTTTTCCCACCCGCAAGTGTCACAAAATGAGATGAGAACATGATGCAACGTACCTTTGAATGAGATGCTCCCCCTTGCAATGGCAAGGAGCAGGCAATAGCTTTACTCTTCTCACCCACTATATTATAAGGGAATCTCTTGCGTCTAGTTTTTCTTGATGGCATTGGTAAACTAGCTTGAGTGTTTACACAATGTTCAGCTGCCACTGATGGACCACTTGGTTCACTTGTCGGATCACTGTTGTAATCTGAACCTGATCTTTTCAGTTGTCTGGAAGGATCAGACACTTCACTGGTTTGTTTCCCTTTAACAGGCAATATCTCTTTTCCAGGCAAGTCCTATATCAATTTCAAAAGGAAAATAGGAATAGTTATGGGATTGCCAAAAAAAAAACCACTCAGGAAACAGAAACAAGATTGTCAAGAGTGAAGACTATCAATTTTCTGCTGCCACCAAAAACTTAATGGCAACTGAATATTTTGTGTGGTTATTATCATGTCATATGCAACCAAGAGTACCATTTTTTTCTGCAGATTATCAATATATTATAATTGCCACTTCCCAAGAGTAAAAGGGTAAAGGGAAAAGGACTGGCGCAATGAGGGAAAGAGAGAGTAGCATACGTTAGTCTTCACTAAATCACTAAGAGGAGGATTTGTGTTGGCTTCAACACTCGGTGCCTGAGACAAAAATATAAATAAAAAGACAACGAAAAGTAACTTGTGAGCCAGATGGTAAAGCCAGATTATCAAATGAAACAAGATAAAAGCTCACAGAATTATGGATGTTTCTTTTTCGTATTGTAACAGGATTAGACATGGGAAGTTGATGAATGCATAGACGAGAAGTTTCAATATGCTTACTCTTGACACCACAGATGGACGTCTCCTTTTTAGGCTATTATCATTCATGGAATCATTTGGCTGCTGGGCTTCAGAAGCATGTCTACCATCAGTTTCTGCAACTCTTCTGGACTTTGACTTCCTTGAGGTGGTAGCTTCAACTCCAATGACTGTATCACGTACTTTATCATTCATGGATGAGCCTTCAGTTATGTCTCTATTATGGTCGGCAAATGTAGCTTGAGGGATGACAGATTTGCTCTCCAAATCAACTGTACTTGTTTCTTCGTTCAGTTGGGCAGAAGACTCTAGACCAACACAAATAAGAATATATAAAGATGCCAGAATCAGGGTACAGAAACATCAATGGCAGATTGATGGGAAATACAGCAACAGATGCATGAACATACTATCAGCTTTTAAGTTATTAGAATTTAGTCTTCCCTACAAGGCAGGTATCTAAGTTGACATCGAAGTCACCCTGGACAGATAATTTGCATGCAGCCAAAGCAACAAACTGGTGTTAAATAGAATAAACAATCACACGGAATGAGTGCAAACTTTTGAAAGACAGAGTCAGACTTCTGCCTTTACTCACTAGCAATAACATTGGGGATGGTGTCTGGTACTAACTCGCCAACTCTTTTTCCCCTATTAAGTTAGTCTCCATAGTTAATATAGGAGCTTAAGGAATATTGTTAAGGTGGTGGCAAAGTGATCAATATAATCTATTCTAAAAAGGTTTATGCAATTTGATTTTTAGACATAGTAGACCAGCCAGGGACTTAATAGGTTAGAAGCCTTAAACAGAAGAAATACACTCACTAGTCTTCACTACTTACCAGATTCCATCACAGAGAGATTAGCCAATGTCTGCAAAGCATCCAGAGCAGAAAATTCGTCTGACAATGAGAAAAGTGTGGTTAAAAACAGATATTGTCCGAGTTGCTATGCCATAGCCAAACTGTGAAAAAACAGAATTCTTCAAGAACATTTAATGAATTAATAACGTAACACACATAAATACATAATCATACAGTACTTTCAAGTAAGCACCACCATAATGTGACAATCAGCCACTGAACTTTTGTACGGCTTCTACCTTACCTCCAGAAAAATATTTCTTGCTTTTCCTCTTTTCGCCTTGAGGAGAAGTCACCTTAAGCTTTCCATTTGAAACCTTTGTATCAACTTTTCTGCTCAAACCACTCATTTTTTTACCCTCTTCAGTGCCACCAGAAGCTTGTGCACCATCACCCTTAAGACGGTCAGTCACTCCAACTTTCATTTTCTTTCCACGAATCTTCTTTTCCTTTCTTTCCACCAAGCCTACACCTCCATCATACTCGACATTCCTGATAACCTTACTTCCAGCCCCTTGTATCCGACCATCATGTATGGAAACATCGTAAAGTTTTTCTACAGCTGACTCTGCCTGCACAAAGGAATTGAGGATGTACATATTCTGTTACAGCAGACTAGTGAACGCTGATAGAAACAAAAGAACTGATAGTGTTAGAATCTCAAGTCTGTCATATTCTGTTCAAGGAAACGGAAGAGGATGCCATGATGAAATACCTTCTTATCTTTACTTTTAACAAGTGACAAAGTGTCCTGCTCAATTCTGCCACGGGATGTCTGGGAAACTTGAGAGCCTCCTCTGCGTGATGTCTCAGTTAATACCAAGGCAGCAACATGTGCTACCTCTTCTTCCCTGGAAACAGCATTTAACTTCCTGTTTCTCTGAAAAGCATAATTTATCGCATTGTCTTTGTTGTATGAAACAGGGAAACGAGGCGTCCTTTTCCCAACTGCACGAGGCTGACCACCTAAGATAAGAATAATACCATCAAAACTAGCTCAAGCATCAATTAGACTAGCTTAATCATATACAGTCTTTTTCATTAAATTCAAAGTCCTCGCTAGTCAACATATAGGAATTAGCTTTTCTCGCAATTATGACGACATAAATGCAGCTCTATTCATTGTCAGCCAAATTCAAACTGGACCAAGGTCACCAAAGTATTTATTCAAAACATGTAGGAACTTAACAAGGGAAAGTAAAAATCAAATCTGAGTACAATTGCTCAAACTAGCTTTTATAAAGTCCACACAATCAATTTCAAGTCCCCACTGGTAAAGGAATTAACTGGAAAATTCAAATGAACACCCGCCTGCCTTCAAAATAACTAACATGCCTTTACTAACCAAGATTCAAGCCGCATACCAAGTAAACGTACTCTCTTCAAAAGAGACATGCATCCATCTGCTGTTGTTGAAACAGGCAGCTCTGTTTGCTCACTAAGCGGAACTTTCACTCTCTTTCGTTTGAGAGATTTGTGGGGCACCTGTGGGACGCTATTGTCTTCTCTTTCACTGTCACTTGATGCCTACATGGATGACAGGAAATAACAGCAACCTTTGTTATGTCAACCAACAGCAAAGGTTTGTGAATCAACATTATGCGCCTTTCATCAAGTAGCAGAAGCTTTTAACTGAATGAATAATTGAATCCTACAATGTACCTGAAGAACACTGTAATGATCAGACACCATTGCTATAAGGCCATGCACGGAAGCTGTTCCTTCAGGAAGTGATAGGTAGGCCTAGATAAGAGAAAACATAATGATTTCCCATGCCATGAAAAGCAAATAGAAGATTGGCATTCATCAAAAGCAAACGGTAGCACGCATATTAATCAGTTAATATTAATTTATGCACCCATCACAATTTTTCATGTAAATCTTTTTTTCAGTTTGGGACCATCAAGTCAAACCTTATTACCAAGAAGAACCCTTCTTTGACCTAACCAGGCCAATCCCTCTCAAAATTTAGATTCTTCCTTAGGGATGAATCAGTTATCATCACCTCTAACTGCAGTCCTGACTCTCAGTATATGAATTTGGATGCAAAAGAAATTTATAGGGAGATATATGTTTCTCCATCATAATAATAAAACTTGCTGATTTTCAGGCCTTAAATTGGTTCTATCTTCAATAAAGTGGAATGAGAAACAGCTGAGCAGATATAGAAACCCATTTCCTATAGTAAATCGGTCATCAAGCAAGCTGTAATGTCACTTAGTTCACAAACATCCTCACAACTTTAGAGATGGAAAATCCTTAAGTATAAAGCCAATAAAATACCAATAAAGGAATGTATGTACCCGATGCAACTTGTAAAGGGCTTCTACCATTTCCAAAGATCGAGTGCTAACTTCAGCAGTGACCTGAAAACAAAGAAGAATAACGCAGAGGAAAAATCAAATGTGAACACAGCGTACTATAAAGAGTGATGGGTAATGGAAAACTGACGGGGTAGAAGCGTGTACCCTTTCCCAGTCCTTCCCATGCTTGCGATATGCTTTGTAGAACTTCTGTATCTCAGTTTCATGCCAGGGTGGCCCCAACTTATAGGCAGACTTCCTCTTCTGGTGAAAACAGAACATTCCAATATACATGACACAAATTGGTATGTTTTTTAAGAAATTATGAACATGTTGCAAGTGGGAGAAACAGCAGAAAAAAATTACAACTTTCCTTGAGAAAGATATCCAAAGAGGAAACTACATTGCCTATTTGTCTGCTCAGCTAATATTATCATATTAACTAAACAATCAGCAAAGTTACACAACGTGAAAAGGAAATTCAAATCATTACTCTGAATAGCGACAGCATACATAAGTAAAACACTCCAACCCACTATAGGTACAAGAGAGACCTACAGACATGAGATAATACTCACCACTGCAGTCACTTGCTCCACATTTTCCCCCCAGTTCCTGGCCTTTTTCTGAGGAGAGACTTCTATCGGAAATTGCTTGTTGACACTTTTTTTCCTACTTGGAGGCATTGTATGTTGATTTCCTGGAACACATTTAGGTAGACTTAGCAGCATGCCTCATCATAGAACTAGGAATTCAGCTCATTACTAACAATCAACGAGCTACCTGTTCATATAGCACTTAAACATAACCCAGAGAGATCCTCCGTCTAGAAGATCTGAAATATACAAAAGTAATAATTGGACAACAAAAGAACTTCAATCTATTTCCATAATACTACTTATAGTTCAGTGGTGGAAGGCAAATAGAAGAAAATGAAAATTCTTCTTCCATTCAGAAGCAATTCTTGTCAAATGCTCCCAAACTTATTCGAACCATTCAAAAAGGGGGTTTTAAATACCCACACAAAAGCCCAAAAGCTGCTGAGGGAAGAAACCCGGAAATGTTCAGAAACCCAGAAAATCCCCCCAGAAAAGGAACCCGTAAAGATCTGCCGCCAGAAATCCGCCTTCAGCCCTCCAGGAAACAGAAAGAGAATTTCAAATTTATGTGAGGAAAACCCAACTATGATTTCCCCAAACGAGCCGTCCCCAAATCCCAAACAAACGGCTCGCTTTCAGCAAAAGAGCCATATCAAGGGGAAACCTAAAACCATGAATCAGTTGAATTGAACAACAAATTGTCCCAAAGAAAAAGCTTGAGTTTGAATTCAGTAAATGTACCTCTAGAAACCCTCACAAAACCCCCTCAGAGTTTGCCACTCTTAAAACCCTAAATGATAGATCCTCAGCAACAGAACTCGCCGATTCTCACCAAATTAAGATCTGGAGCTGCACTTCGCACTAGCAGGAGGAAAGAATTTCAACAGAGAGGAGACCGGGAAGGGAGGACGAAAAGGGTTTATCTGAGAGAAAGAGTGAGGGAGGCGCTGGTTAGAGAGAGAAAGTTAAAGCAAAGAGGCGTTGCCGCGAAACTTGAATATAAAGAAGCTGGGTTAGCCATTTTAATTTAGGTGGCTTTAGCCTTTTTTTCTTTTTACCAATTTCTAAATTCTGTTATTTTTCCTTTTTTGCATCGGATCCTGGTTCGGAAGGCTCTTAATCTTCGTACACGTAGCCAGGGTTAGGATTTAACGGCTCGACCTAGGAGTCCCTATCTTGTGTTCCATGAGATTAGTTGCACAAGATTGAATTTGAAATCCTTTTACGTATATTTGCAGTCGAGGTCCCTCCATTTTATGCGTATTTGCGCGATGTCCCCACGTGATTTCAAATTCTGCCATATTTACATCTTTGCCCAACTATAACTTCCCATTTTCCACTTTTTTCTAATTTTTATTTGGGTAAATACAATATATTAACCACAACTATTCTGAAGCGGAGAATTAGGGTTATAGGTATAATATGCCCCTCTACTATGACGCTTTATCAAACATGCCCTTCTACTATTTTTTACATCAAACATGCCCCTGTACTTTGTAAAAATGATCAAACATGCCCTTTTGTTAAAATTTTCATCCAAAAACCGTTAACCAAAGCCGAACTTTAGTTTGGGCGACACAAATGACTAAAATATCCATAATAAATTCACTTTAGAATTTTTTTCGTTCTTTTGTATAATCAAATCATTCAAATAATTTCACTTTGAAAAGACCCAGGGAAATAAAACAGGGGACAAAACTGACATTTTTCCTCCCATTTGCCGATGTCGGGTCATCTAAATCTCAGTTCAACCACGATTGACGATTTTTTCAATGAAAATTTTAACAGAAGGGCATGTTTGATAATTTTTTCAAAGTACAAGGGCATATTTGATGTAAAAAATAGTAGAGGGGCATGTTTGATAAAACGTCATAGTAGAAGGGCATGTTTGATAAAACGTCATAGTTGAGGCGATTGCTAATTATCATAATTCAGATATGCGGTATGGGGAATAGTAAAAGAGATTTTTTAAAGAATGTGATGATGAGCTGAAAAATAAAAAATAATAATTTTTTTTAATTGCCACGTCACTCATTTAACTGTCAACTATTAGTGTTGACCGCCGCATCAGCACAAGTTAACGGAGACTAAAGGCCACTGACCAAACTTGAATTGTTAACCCAATTTAAGTGACTACGAATAGAATAAAGTAATTCTAGTGGCTAATGTGAACTTTACTAGTAATTCAAGTGACCAAACTTGCAATGATGCCAAAATTTTGTTGTTGTTATAATTAGTTTATTTAATCTATATACTAATGAATTTATGTTCTTGTTATGCTATCGTAGGTTGGGGAGGATGTGGATATATACATTCAAAGATATTATGTTGATCAAGGACCGACTGATCCATCCATGCTATACGACCAAGCTAACCATCGTTCAAGAGATGTTTGGAACGATCACAAGGTACATATATAATTTATCATCATTTGTTATTTTTTATTTTGTTAACGTAAGTTAGTGGTTTGTAAAATAAAATTGTTAATTGTTAATCGTACTTATTATTTTCATTTGTTTAGGATAATATAATGTGCCACTTACTTAGACTCTTTATAAAGAGATGCACGCCTAAGGAAATGGGGTCTTAAGTGTTCATCATGATCCTCCATTTTCTGGGAAAATCAGGTTTTAAGTGATCCTCGGATCCCCCCTTTTCTATCAAAAAGGCTGTGTTTCTAAGGAGATGTATACCTCTCCTAAGAGTCTAACGAGTGTACTTGTATTGTTTTAAATTATTGAAAGAGCACTTCTACTATGCTATATAGCATTGGTGCTTTAATGTACAACTCAAAGTTGTACCATAACATTAAATGTATAAGTTTAGGTTGTACTATAAAGCAATTTGTATCATTATGTTATGGTACAACTTTACAACTTGAACTTGTGGTACAAGTTCAAGTTGTACCATAAAAAAATTTGTACAAAAAGTATAGGTATAATCTAAAGTTGTACCATAATGTAAATGTACAATTTTAAGTTGTACCATAAAGGCAAAAACCTATAGCACCAATACTATATAGCATTGTAAAATTTCTGTTATTGAAAACAACCAATACGAATTACAAAACAATAGGCTCAATTTATGTGTATGTGTACAAAATTAAATTTATTTAATTTTTGATGTTGGGGATTTTAATGCAATTTTGGCATCCCATGAAAAGGAGGGTGGCCTCCCTTGGTGCCCCAGCCACGCTAATAATCTTAGGCTTTATGTAGATGATCTTGCTCTTCAGGAGGTTCCTTTTGAAGGGCCGACATTTACTTGGACAAATAGGCGCAATCCGACCGATATTGTTTAAGAAAGGTTGGACCGAGCACTAGCCTCGGGGAGCTGGTTTTGCCAATTCCCATACTCGATTTTACATCATCTTTCCAACAGGGAATCGTACCATCAAGCCCTTCTCTTAGCAACGGAGGCAGTCATACGGCCTCAGAAGCGCTTATTTCGCTTTGATGCTAAGTGGGCTGAAAACTCGGAGGTGCGCAATTTGATTAAGTATGCCTGGGACTTGGAAGTTATTGGTTCCCCGATGTATAAATTGTGGTGTAAACTCAAGAAAGTACGACACTTACTTTTTGATTAGGCGAAGGGCGGAACATCGAACTCGAGAAGACATATTCGCACGTTGGAGAGGGAGATTGATCGAATTAGAGCTGAAGCTAGGGTGGATTGGGACCGTATTAGGGAATTGGAGGCAAAGCTTCGTATAGCATGGACGAATGAGGAAATTTACTGGAGGCAGAAATCGCGGGTCCATTGGCTGCATGGAGGGGGATACGAATTCTGCTTACTTTTATACGATTACTCGTACTCGTCGTTGTCAGAACTTCATCTCCCGAATGTAAGCAGAGGATGGAGAGTGGGTCACAGAGGAGGAAGGAAAGATGGAGATGGCGTGTGACTTCTACTCTACGCTCTTTACTTCTAATGGAGAGGACATTCATCAGATACAGAGTCAGGTGTCGGATTTAGCGATTGAGCAGAAGGTCCCACTGCGGATGAATACCTATTTGGCGGCTCCTGTCTCTCCGGGGGAGATAAAGTGTGCGGTCTTCCAGATTGGAGCTACCCAAGCACCAGGATCGGATGGATTTAATGGCATTTTCTTTCGGTCTTATTGGGACATTGTGGGGGCAGACGTAGTGTTGGCAGTAAGCAACTTTTTTGAAACTGGATCCTTGCTTAAGAACTTTAACCATACCTGGTTGTTTTTAGTTCCCAAAGTGGATGTTGTGGAGACAATGAAGCAACTAAGGCCAATCAGTCCGTGTCAGTTCGTTTATAAGATCATTGCGAAGATCTTAGTCGAACGTCTAACATGTTTTCTCCCTTCTATTGTCTCCCCGGGACATAATGGATTTGTGAGAGGACGACAAATCATGGATAATGTGCTGATTAGTCACGAGGTTATGCAGTATTTGAAGAATAAGAGAACAGGAAAGCAGGGGTTTATGGCTCTAAAGGTTGATATGGAGAAGGCTTATGATAGGGTGGAATGGCCATTTTTGTTTGCATTGCTTGAGAAATTTGGGTTTTGTGCGCAATGGATTAAATGGCTTCAAGATTTTGTTACGTCAACCACCTTTTATGTCATGATGAATGGGAGACCAGCTGACTACTTTGCTGCTAGTCGTGATCTCCGCCAGGGTGACCCTCTGTCCCCTCTTCTCTTTGCCATTTGCTCGAAGGGCCTAGCAGCATTGCTTAGGCAAGCTCTGGTAGCGAAGTCTCTTACGCGATGTCTGGTTATATCACACTTGTTCTTTGCTGATGACTCTTACCTCTTTCTCCGGGCTTCTGTCCAAGAATGTGGTACTCTTGTGAGGTTATTGGCTCGATATGAATACTTGAGTGGGCAGAAAGTGAACTTGGACAAATCTGGTGTCTGCTTTAGTAGGAATATTCTTGAGCCTGAAAGTTTAGTTTTGGGTGGTATACTTGGCATCGGGGCGGTTGGAGTGACTGATAAGTACTTGGGGCTTCCCTCTCTGATTAGTCTATCCAAGCTAGATATTTTCCGCTTCATGGAGGAGAGGGTTATCCAGAGACTCCAAGGATGGAAACAACACAGTCTTTCGTGTGCGGCGAAGAAAGTTATGCTGAAGGCGGTGGTGAATGCGATGTCCTGGTTTTAGTTTTGGTTTCCTGTTACATTGTGTAGGGATTCAGATAGGCATCTAACTCGGTTTTGGTGGAGGGCTTAGCAAGGGGGACGACGAATTCATTGGGTGGCTTGGAAGGCACTGTGTCTTAGTAAATTGGAAGGTGGGTTAGGTTTTCGATGAATGAAGGAGTTTAATCAGGCCCTTTTGGGCAAGATGGCTTGGCGACTATTGACAAAACCTAATTCTCTGTTGAGCCGAGTTTACAAAGGTTGGTACTATCCCAATTGCTCTTTCCTTGCGGCGAGGACGGGTGCATTACCGTCCTGGGGTGGCGTGGTATTTTACATGGCAGGGAATTGCTCCAATAGGGGCTGCGATGGCAGGTTGGTTCTGGGGTCTCGATTTCTTTTTTGGGAGCGGATTGGGTTCCTGATTGCACCCACATTCGCCTGGTTTAAAGCCGACAACCTTGGGTGCTCAAGGGACAATGGTTGACCTCATTTCATCGATGACTCATACTTGGGATGTTGATCGATTATGCCATATCTTTGAGGAAGAAACTGTGTCTCTGATTCGAGCTATTCCTTTGCCTACGTTGACAGTCCCTGATCGATTGATATGGCATCATGACCTGTCTGGGTTTACTCGGTTAAATCATCTTATCACCTAGATGCTCAGCTGCGTTCGACTCGGGAAAGGGCCTCTAAGTGTGGGGCTTGTATTTGGTATAACATCCTTTGGACTAAGGTATGGGGGGCCCAGGTGCCTCCTAAGTTTAGAGCTTTTTTGTGGAAAATTTTGCTTCCTATCTTACCCACTAGGGAAGCGTTATCTACCCGAGGGATGCAGGGTGTGCTTCTCTGTCCGGTTTGT